TTATTAAATTATTTGTGCTTTTAAAGATTAAGCAATTAAAATCTAATCTAAATGCAAAAAAATAAGCATGCATAAACTTCCAATACCGCTAAATTCTTCTAAAATCAGCTAACTGTTATGGTACCGATGCATCCCTGTTATGTTTGTACTCGACTCTCTTTATGAACTGCAATAAAGTCTTACTATGATAAGCGTGTCTTTAATGCATTACAGGATTGAGATGATGTGGTCTTGTGCAGGTCGAGCTTCTGCGTCCCCGTCTCTAGACGTCCTCATTACGCTGCTCACACTGGGAGCCAACGGCTACAAGAAACTCTTGGCTGAGAGAAAGGTGAAAACATTTCAAAATTTTTCTTAACTTCTGATTATGGCTGTGTGGTATCAGTGTTAATTTAGTATTATTTATAGACTTTTATAGTTTTTATTAATATTTTGCTTTCAGTTTCAGTTCATCTGGTATTTCTGATGTAATTATGGCAAAGCTGCCTTTATATTAACAAAAACATTTTTATTAACAAAAATGGGACTGTTGAAATACTAAATTAACGACAATTCATTTTGTGATTCCAGAAGTCTCCAGAATAAAAACAATAGTTATTTGAGGGGGGGGAGGGAATGAAGGAAATATGAATTCAGTGTACATTTTTGTATTGTGTGTATTTTAGCATTTCAATTAAGTTAGATTTAGTATAATTCAAGTAATTGAAAGTCATTCTGAGACCTCATTGGAAGTTTACTGAGGCCCCTGGTTGAGAAGCGCTGGTATAGAGGCAGGTGTGAGCGTTACCCAATGAGACTCCAGTACATGCAGGAAAACACCTTTAGCCTTCATGTGATAAGACGCTTGCAGAGCTTATTGATTCACTACTAATGCATCCAGATTATTAATAATTTAGATTCTTTGTTGACTAGATCAGATGTTCTCTGTGGGCAGAGTCAGTTTCTAACATGTTTTAGCCAAAGGAGAATGAATTTCTGGACTGTAACATTGTGAAAAAGACGTGCACTTTAGCATACTTTTAAAAAGAGTACTAGAGAAATAATGTATTTTAAAAGAATATACTTAAGTGTGAACTGAATGTAATGTTTTGAGACACTTAATTGCATGTTAATTGCAATTAAATGAAAATGCATTCTAGTTTACATTTCTATTAAATGCAATTAACTGCTTTTTTTGACCCGCTTAAGTTGGTCATGTAAATACATCTTTATATGTGATTTTATAATTATTTCTAATGTCTTTAAAATATGGTTAAAGTACTGCTGAATGTACTTAAAAGCATTTATGGTAAACTAAAATATATGTTAAAGTAATTTTTTATTGAGACTTGTATCTCATGTATTTACATATTTGTAATTACACGATTGTAATGCATTTGCAATTTAATACATTTAAAGTATATTAACTGTAATGTCGATTAAAACACTACAGTTAAAATTATAATAAAGTATTACTTAGTATTACAATACTTGGTATTTTACTCAACATTTATTAGTGTTTAAAATGTATTTAAATTTTAAAGTAAAACTTTGAAAAGTGTACTTAAGTGTGTACTTAAGTGATGAAAGTGTCTCTCTTTAACTACATTTCAGTGGCCTTTTATTTCATTATAGTATTATAATAGTATAATATTACTTCTGCATGTTTTATTTTAAAAAGATTTGATGTACGTACACTACAAATGCACATTCAGTACAATTAAGCGCACTTCATTTTCACAAGGGTGATTATACACTATGTAAACAATATTTATACTTTGTTTTTTACTTTTTTGTTTTTTTGCTTCTGCAAAATTTGGTGCCAGAATTCTTGAGTATTGTGGGTGGTTGCTAGGGTGTTGCTATTTGGTTGCTAGGATGAATTTCATTGCATAATGTGAGCTTCTGCATATTATGAACCCTCAAGGACTCCGTGTTTTCATACTGTAGATCTCAGAAGTCTTACTAACAGCATCATAATAGGGGCCCATAACCTGAGGGCCTCCTACAGTTAATTTGTAATTGATCTCAGGGGTGGACGCAGCTCTGCCAACACAGCTCATTCTGTGATGCAGTTATACTAAAGCTTCAGATGGGAAAGCAGGCTGCAGATCGCATCAGGACTCAGGAGAAAGCTGGAATGGCTGGAGAGGGAAGCAGGTGCTGGGTTTACTGTAGGCCAGCAGACACAGAAATGCAACATTAGCAGAAACAGAATGTGCGACAGAAAAGGAAAAAAAAAAGCTGTGTAAAGTGGAGAGCTATTTATAACTGGAGTTGTGTACGGCCCGCAGGAGCTGTATGGTCACCTGGCGCAGGAGCTGAGCGCTCTAGCCGAGAGACACGGGGAGAGACTGCTGCATACGCCACACAATCCAATATCACTGGGTGAGGAGTCATGCATCATGTGTAGTGCGATGTCATGCAAGCAAGAGTTCAATAACAGTTAAAAAAAAAACAAGGATTTAATTAATACATTTTCTCTGTAAATAAAAATGGTTCTAAAAATAGCTTTTGCCTGTCACCCAGAGGTCAGGGTTTGGCTGGTGAGCATGAGTCTGTTAGTCCCTGCTGGCAGATCCTGTAACTACACCATCTGGCCAAGCAGAGCATCTTTCTCTATTGACGACCGTTCAAACGCGGTCATGTGTTTTGACTGAATATTTTTGTTTTCATGTGCAAGCAACATTTAAAATGCATCTTTTATATTAAAGTTTTTTTTTTTGGAGCATTTTCAGTGTGAAAAAGTGTCCCACTTGGGACTATGAGCATTCTTGTGGTGCCATCAGCCAATCATACTTGTAAAAAAAGAAGTGCACTTAATTGTATTTAATGTGCGCTTGTAGTGTACTTTAAAACTTAAAAGTATATATATTAGAAACTACTTTCAGAAAATACAACATTAATGAAATAAAAGGCCACTTAAGTGACTTAAAGAGAGACACTTTCATGACTGTTACTTAACACACGTAAGTACACTTTTAAAAAGTGCACTTTGAAGTACATTTTAAATTATTGTTTTAATCTTTTGTTGTGTTTTAAAGAAGTACACTTAATTTGATGTGTTGACTAACATACTAAATCACATGTAAAGTACTTGATTATAATTTTATTATAGTTTTATTACATTTAAAGTTAATATATTTTAAATGTAATAAAATGCAACTTCATCATTACAAATGTATAATTACAAAATGCCATTAAACTATGTTTTAGTTTATCATAAATGCTTGTACACTTTGCTGTACACTTTAACCATATTTCCAAAAATTATGAAATTGCATATAAAGATGTACTTAAGTGAGTCAAAAAACACTTTAAAGTTCAGCTAATTGCATTTTATATAAATTTAAACATACATTTTCATTTAATTGCAATTAACATGCAATTAAGTGTCTGAAAACATTACATTCAGTTCACACTTAAGTATTATTTCTGTGATGAATACTCTTTTTAAATTTATGCTAAAATGCATTTCTTTTTCATAAGGGAAGTCTTGTCATGATAATCGAACATGTTCTATTAAATTCATACAAATGTATGAGAAACAGTCTGATGAGTTTTCCTGTGCTCTCCAGCGATGTCTCTGAACCGTCTCCAGACACACAGCACCGCAGCAGTCACGCAGCTGGGCTCCATGCTCTTCACCAGACAGGTGTCTGGAGCCAGGTGAGCTACTGTCCACTCCGCCGCCTGTTTCTATTTCAATATTTCTTGACCTCTAATTTAACTTGAAAGCAAAAATTAGAAAAAGACTAGTGGATGTGAACTCCGTCTCTTCAAGTTCACACAGGTGTTCAAGTAGAGAAGAAACATGCTCCACTATTTGGCAACCAAAAAAGTGACTACATACCTACTTGACTGACAATCATATTCTTGAGAAGTTTCAGTCAGGGTTTAAATCACTGCACAGCACAGAAACCGCTCTTGTGAGAGTTCTTAATTATATTTATATGGCAACAGATTCGGGGGACTCTGTCATTTTTTTCTAATGTTAGACCTGTCCTCTGCTTTTGATACTGTCGATCATGCAATCCTCATCTCTCGGCTGGAGCATTGCATTGGGCTGGGGGGGGGCTGTTTTAAGTTGGTTTAAATATTTTCTAACCAATAGACTTAAAATAGGACGTTTTTCTTCTTCTCTTCGCAATCTATCCTGTGGTGTGCCTCAAGGCTCTGTTTTAGCTCCTCTCCTTTTTTCTCTCTGTCTTCTCCCTTTGGGTTCCATTTTTAGGAAACATAATGTCTCATTTCATTGCTATGCCGGTGATATGCAAATCTATATGCCTGTGTCTAGGAAAAATAAGAGTTCTCTAGGCAACCTAACAGCATGTCTTGAGGATGTGAAAGCTTGGCTTGCCAAGAATTTCTTTTTCTGAACTCGGACAAAACAGAAGTCATTGTTTTTGACTACTCAGAATTCAGGCCAAGAAATTATACCCCCCTTCTGAGATCCCTTCACTGGCTTCCGATTCATTTTAGAATTGAGTTTAAAATTGTATTGCTGGTATTTAAATCATTAAATGATTTAGCACCTTCTTATTTGTCCGATCTACTGCACCCTTACTCTCCCACCAGAGGCCTTAGATCCAAAGATAAGCTCCTCCTTCAGATACCCAAAATCCGGCTAAAATCGAGGGGTAACCGAGCCTTTGAAGTGGCTGGCCCGACACTGTGGAACAAGCCCCCACTCTATATTAGATCGGCTTCCACTTTGTCTGAGTTCAAGTCATGTCTCAACTTATTTATTCTCTGTTGCTTTTAGCTTATAAGAGTGTTCTGTTTTAACTGGTTTGCTGCTATTAGAGTACTTAATTTTTTATTTTGTTCTAACTTGTACAGCCCTTTGGTTTTTAAATGTGCTTTATAAATAAACTGAACTTGAACTTAATTTTATGTCTCTTGTAATATAATACATAATTATCCTCACTAACTAACCTAACTTTTGTTTAAATTTTGTGATACAGAAATGTGCTTGTTATCCTTTAAGATAAACGACACGACAGCTTACAATTTACTTCCTGTATACTTTATACTAGATGACTGATTGAATATGTTACATCCCAAAGCAATATTTTCTCTTCTCTTATAGGAATAGCTCAGCCAAAAATGAATATTTGCTGACAATGTACCCCCAGGTCATCCAAGTTGTAGATGAGTTTGTTTCCTTATCAAATCAGATTTGGAGAAATGTAGCATTGCATCACTTGGTTCCTCTGCAGTGAATGGGTGCCGTCAGAATGAGAGTACAAACAGCTGATAAAAGCATCACAATAATATTATCAATAAAAAGCCTGGATGGACTCCAGTCCATCAATTAATTTTTTTTAGTGGAGGAAGCAATATTACAGATAGAGGACTTTTAAGTCAGAAACAACAGTTTGAAGTTTAAACATCTTAATGATGGATTTGTTTAATACAAATACGCAGCTTTTGGATTTTTGGTGTGGATTGTTTGTGGATTATTGTGATGTTTTTATCAGCTGTTTGGACTCTCATTCTGACGGCACCCATTCACTGCAGAGCATCCATTGATGAGCAAGTGATGTAATGCTACATTTCTCCAAATCTGTTACCATGAAGAAACAAACTCGTATACTAAAAAAAAAAATCAGCAAATTTGTTATTTTTGGCTGAACTATTCCTTTAATATTTTCTGCTGGACACTAGTTGACCTGCTGTAATATTAATGAAACCTTCTTTCTGCTGTCCGCTTTCATTATTTAAATGGGAGTCATTCTCATTCTCTAGGGTTTATCCTGTAGCATTATCCTCTCCACCTCCTTTTAGTCTGTCACAGACTATGCACTCTGTCTGCAGTGAATAAATATGACGGGAGAATTTAAGACTGAACGAAGTGTCTGCAGTGAATTTAGAAAGAGCAAGGAAAACTCTGAACTCTGCTGGAAAATAACTGCTGTCTGTATCGGCATAACAGAGAGACTCTATTTGTCCTTTTAGAGGACCAGTTTAATTTATCATCATTGGCTAGAAATTAATCATTATAGTGGTAATATTATGATGGCATAATTAATGGAGAACATTGTTTTTATTGTCCAAATGACATACCCTTAGATACAGTACATCTAAATTTGGTTTGTATACTGGGTTGGCTGTGCATTCATCAAAGATTTTAGTCTTTGCAACTTCAGGGATCTTATCTATGCACAATCAGCTTGTAACACTCCAAAGAGAAAGGAAAACTTGAAATCGCATCATATGACCCCTTTAAGTCTCTCTTTAAGTCACTTAAGTGGCCTTTTATTTCATTAATATTATATTTTCTGTAAGTAGTCTTTAAAAAAAAATCTACTTTTAAGATTGGAAGTATGCTGTAAGTGCACATTCAGTACAATTAAGTGCACTTCTTTTTCACAAGACTTGTTCATTGGTGTAATATTTCATTGCAGGGTCGTCCCGCTGGGTGTGGAGCAGACCGTGAGCGGACACGCGTTTCGTGGCTTCATGTCGCACGCAGATGCCTATCCGTGCCCGTACCTTAACGCAGCCTCTGCTATTGGAATAACCAGAGATGATATAACACTGTGCATCAAGAGACTCGATAAATGCCTCAAGAGCCTTAGCAAAGAAGCTTCTGCAGAGAAGAGTGAGTCAGGATCGCCAGCTGAAGATGTGGAACCGCTGGGTCAAAACAACCCAATAGCTGGGTTTGTCCCTTTTTAACCCAGCATTTTTTAGAGTGTAGATGAAAGAGTTTGATACATAGGAATAATTTTTTCATAATTTGATCTTGTGGCAATAACCTTGTGTGTGAATGTTGATATATCAACATATGGCCACAAATGCATTCATTTGTTTTCCCCATGCTCAATAAATGCGTTTTGACCTGTGTTTGACTGTATACCCTAACTGACAATAAATACATTATTTTGTCATTTTAAGTCATCTGGTGCTGCTGCTTTTTTACACAGTCATTGTATTTGCATAGACAATGCAGAGGGAATTCTCTGTTGTAAACAATATCAAAAGAATATGAAAGATTTTTTTTTTATTATTTCTGGATCCCCCCCAAAAAAGTTATAATTCGCTCCGATTGCAAAAAAATGTCTCTTTATGTACCAAACCCTGCAATGAGTACCTGCGATAGAATTTTTAAACCTTTAATGTTTTTTTTTTTCCCAGAATGGACATTTAAGCTGTACAGTGCTCACAAAGTGCTCACTTTCAGAGGAGCGTGTAAAGTGCTAGCTCAGCAACACAATAGTGCAGCGTTTTTAATAACATCTGTTGTGTGACGTAGCAGAGGAAGGTGCACAGTCTCTGTTTTCGCGTGAGAGGTGTTGAATCAGCTTTGCTCACACCTCACTGTAATGCATTTAATGTGCACTCCAGCAGCATTTCTGCTCATGATTTATGTGGGATCAGCCTCTGCTGTTCTCTGCAAACCTTCTGTCTCGGTCCTCTACCTTCACAGATCTCTCCTGCGCTCCATATCCATCTGTTCAACAAGCTTTAGCTCTTAATAATAAACTCTCCTCTTACTGTTTATCTCACTGTTTTGCTGATACAGCTTTTTCCAACCTCTTAGGCTGCACTTATTCATTTCCTCTCATCATCAATCACGGTGTTTGTGACTTTGCTCTTAAAGCATCAGCACAGATTAGCCTACATGAATTAGGTATACTAACATACAAATAAACAAAAATATCAACCTTTACATACACTAATTCAGATTAAATGGTATTATGTTCATCAGGTTGGTTTGGTTCTAGCCCTCTTTGAGTAAACAAATGAAAAACATAGGCATCTAATAAAACAACAATAACTGCACTTGGCTTTAAAACTCTAGAACCCATTGCAAATCTGTTTATCTCCAATATAAAAGATAATTCTAAAAGACAGCTCCAGATGCTTTACTCTTTATGTTTTTACTCAGTCATCAGTATCCGAGGATCGTGTCTCATTGACTAACCACCTACTTTAACTTCAAGTGTTTTGAAAGCAATAATAGAGCAATCTGCTGACAATAGCACTTCCTTTCATGTTTGTGTTTTCTACACAGTTACGGTTAGATAATACATTGTTTTAAATAGATGTTAGCATGCTGACTATTTGACAACAGCGAGACCGTCAAATTGCAAAAGAGCACACAAAAAGAGTTTTGTGGCTTTGTTAACAAAATACCTTTTTTAATGGCCCGGTCTCATGAAAATGCGTATAAATAGTACGCCAAATAAAAACAAAAACTCGTGGTATTGATATGCAAAAATTTACTTTGGCGTGCATATGATACGCATGTGTTTGGCGTGCATATAATACGCAGTTTTCGCGTACATATGATACGAAATTTGTTGGCGTACATATGATACGCAGTTTTCGCGTGCATATGATATGCATCTACCCCCACAACCCTAAACCCATCGCGTAGCATATACACGCCAAAGCCCATTTTTGCGTATCAATACCACGAGTTTTCGTTTTTATTTGGCGTACTATTTATACGCACTTTCATGAGATCGGGTTCAATTTGCACTGGCTACCAATAGCTGCTCGCATAAAATTCAAGGCATTA